AATGGTTTCAGTGCAGTATTTCCTATCCTTATGGAGAAAGGAAACAACATATTTTTATTTACTGGATAGCCAATTGTGATTGCATGTCTTAAAACTTTTCTTAACCTCTCCCATCCCACCCCTTTCAGATGTGTGAGAGTAGCCATTTTCTGCAGGTCATTATGATACTTGAAAAATGTTCACCAGGCAGGTAAGGATTCATGACAGTTGCAGTATTTGCTCTTGCTGATGAGGTTTCTTGACAAAAATTATTTTTAAGATCTCATAATTGATTTAGGGATTTCATCTGATGAAATGTTATATTAAATAATAGATATAAATATTGCCAAAACACACCCAAGGGTTTTGTGATCAGTTTTTATAAAGATCTCTAGAACTCTGTTAAGGAAAGTCTCTGTGTTTTAATTCTCTTAAATAAAAACATTGCTGCAGTTTGGTTCCTAATTCATGCTGATGCAAATTTAATATGTAATTTAATTATTTTACAGGCTCTTCAAAGTAATTTGAAATATTCTCTTTTACCAAGACGCTTGATTATCAGCAAAAGATTGTCTCAGTGTTTACATCCAGCCTTACCTAGTGGAGTGCATATAAAAGCATTAGAGTCCTATGAAGTAATATTTAAAATTATTGGAACAAAATGGCTTGCAAAGGACTTATTTCTGTACAGGTAAGCCTTGGGGATTTTTTAAAGCCAAGTTTTAATGATAGTCCTGTCTCCACTTATCTTCTAGGTAAGGCCCAGCTAGTGGAAATTGTTTCTAAATAAAATTCTATGGAATGGTTTAGTACATTCTTAAGTTAGCTGGTTTTAGGAATCTTTATTAATTGGTGTATTAGTGTGTAATGTTAAATCTTGCTTAGCATGGGGGAATATAGTACAGATAGTTGAAGAATGAGTTTCATTCCCAAGGTCTGTCCTTACGTCAAAGCTGTATGTAAGCCAGAACAATATTATTGTATAAGACTATATAAGTAGTATTTTGTAATGAACTCGAACCATTGTGTATTTAACACAAATTTTGCTACAATAGGCTCTGTTCTTAACTATGGGTCGTCTATAACCTGGGCATTCTTAACCCAGGGACTACTTGTATAGCTTAGGATTGCAGGTTCCAATTGTCTCCCCTCCTTCAGTTCTGGCTATTCAGAGAACACCAGATCTTTTTTAGATTAATTATAACTTTGCTTGAATTTTAATTATGGTTAATATTAATTATGAGCTTGATAAAAAAGGCCAACTTAATCAACAGTAGTTGGCTAGTTTTGAGAAATAACACTTAATGACCAATCATAATTTCCCTGGGTTTGCATATCAGAACATTTTGTAATTAATGTAAAATACATAAAAACAAAACTTCCAGTCTTCTCAAAAAGGGGTGACAGATTCATTGCAGCTTGTCCTCATAATTGTTTATAGTTTAGCATCTAAGATAACACAGACAAAAACTGAATTTTCCCTATCCTCTCTGTCTCTCCAGCTCAGGCCTTTTTCCATTGCTTGGAGCTGCAGCACTGTCAGTGAAACCCGTCTTGCTCGATTTGTATGAAAATTATTTTCTCCCACTCCAGAAATCTCTCCTGCCCAGCCTTCAGGCCTTCCTAATTGGCCTTTTGCCTGGTTTGGAGGAAGGGTCAGAATTCTATGACAGGTACGGTATTTCTTTCACAGAAGAAGGAAAAAATACTGATATATATTTTAACTCTACTTAGCAGGAATCTCCAAATTACAGCTACTTTTCTTTCTATGCCTACAGCGGGAATTAGTCAAGGGGAAGATAAGCTACCAAAATAAAGCCAGGAATGCAGTACTCCATATTCTGCTTCTGTTATTTGGTCAGGGTCATACATTAAGCAAAAGCTTAAGTGCGGACAACCAGGTTTTCCCTGGTACCTACTGGAAGAAAATTCTTGTGAAATATCTTGCACCAGAAAAGTTCTGGTCCCAACCAGGAAACTTTTTTAGCTCGGCATTTATTATCATTCTCAACCAAGAATTTTATATTTCAAAGCTTAAACTCTGACTTTTTGGAAAACAACAACAACAAGCTGAAAGTTCCTTATAGTAATGAAAGGTTGTACATAACATTTGCAACAGACCATAAATCATAGTCATGATGAAGAAACATTAACATAGCTAGGAAAAAAACTAAAACAAATAGCATTTAAAAACTAAAAATAGCATTAAAAATCATAAAAAACTAAAATAGCAGCATTTAAAGTAGCATCCACATTTGGAACATTTTACACATACACTTAAGTGTAGTTTATTAAATGAACCAATTATCTGCATTTGCACCATCGTTTATAATCCACAATGGCTAGATTCATTCAATACACTAAGTCAACGTCAGGCAAGCTATGATCTAGTCAATTAAAGGCTTCAAACACATACTCCTCTCAGCAAAAAAACCTCAGTAGATTAAGATTCAGTTCTGTTCCATGTAGCTTTTCATGCAAACAGTAATTTAGGAGTTAGTAGTAGAAGCTGAGAACCAGATAGATCCAAATGTTGATGATTTTTCAACCTAAATCTAGGATTACTTCACCTATTAGGTTCATGAAGTTGTTGAATAGTTTAGGGAACAAAATGGAAGCCTGTGGATATAAGTATAAAGCAAAGAAATTATCAATTATCTCCCTCCTTTGAAAACAAGAATAATATAATTTGCACAATTCCCATCCCATAGTATTATGGTCAGCAATACTAAAGAACTTCTGAGAGATCCAGAAGAACTGAAAAAGTTATTATCCCCCACCCTCCGACCTCATCTTATTTCCCAATAGAAATCAAGTAGCACCCTGGCCATGTCAGATGGTTTCTATCCTAATACTAGGCTGAAAGCAAGACTGAAAAAGATCTACCTCATTTAGATGAAATGTTGTCTCTTTTCAGAGTTCTCAGAAAATTCTTGCTTTAGCTTTTACTGATGTACTTCTTTTATGCAAAGATCTATTAGACTTGAAGTGAAAGCCTATATCTTCGATGTAGAGCTGCTATAGTTTGGAGATCTCTTTCCTTTTCTGCTCTCTTTTCCATACATTGCCAAAAATACATTATTTAATTTGTATAATATATATTTCAGTGTTAGCTTGTACAAAATTAATTTAATTTTGTAACAACGTAATCTCTCTCTCTCTCTCTTTTTTCTTTTACAGGACTGATGCTTTGCTTGTGAAGTTGTCCCTGGTAGTTGGCAAAGAAGTGTTTTATTCAGCCTTGTGGGGCAGTGTCTTGGTCAGCCCTTCTGTAAGACTTCCTGCTTCCCTTTTTGTTGTCAGTCATATCAACAGAGCAATACCTGGAAAGCAGCAGAATTATATAATGGGGACTGATACTAATCTCACGGTAGGTTAAACAAATTATCTGTGTTTTTTATATTATAAGTAAATAATGAAAGAAACATGGGAAAATTGCAGATAAAATCATGCACTTGGAGAAGTAATGTAACTCTTCAACTGTTGCATTTTCATTCCAATTTAGTGCAATGTCCTAACCTGTTTTGAAATATTCCAGGTATTTCAGGACAAGATACACTATTGTATTTATCTTTAGCATTTATTATTAAAACAGACAAGGTACACCATCATGATATGATCCCCTGCAGCACTGCCCTTACTTTTCATTTTCTGTGCAATGCACAGTGCTCATTAGAATTCAGTCTATTGCACAGGTTACAATGTGTATGTTCTTTCCATAACTATCATACTAATTAGTTATTGACTGCATTCCATGGAGCCTTGTGTAACATTTAAATGTTAATTCAGTGCTCAAGGATGCCTAAGCCCTGGTGTAACTATTTATGCAACATGGAGATGGAGAATACATGCATGCATACCCATCATACTATTCCCTTTCTGTAAGCAACATTATGTGCAGCACAGAAAAGGAATAAGATATAATAAGCCAAAGAAAGGCAGAAGATAAGAGAAAAAAAGGAAAATTAATGACATCTAGTTTACATCAGCATCATTCACTATATACTGCTCTTCTGTATACCCTTCTATACTTGTTTCTACCATGTCCATACATACAAGGTCTTCTGTTTTTTGGTTTTTTAATTTCTCACTTCTCTCTTTATTAAGATCTCATCCGTTCCATCCAACCACAACTTTCTTTGTCTTCCTCTTCATAGATTTGTCTTGTAATTTGATTCTCATAATTATCCAATATAACCAAATCACCACAACATTCTTCTTTCATAGTGATCACACATTTCTGTATTCAGTCCACATTATTTCAGCATTCATTTGTTCTTGACCCTATTTAAGAAGCCCCTGTGGTAAGAACGTGAAGAAATAGTCATTCCTATTTCATCTTATTATGTTTCTCCTACCATACTGATCCATTACTTCCATGTAATAGAGTGAGAAGAAGTGCACTGTTATATACAATAATTTTCACTTCACTCCTTGTTCTTTTTTAATACATTCCATGCTATAGACCACATTCTGCTGCTATGTTTCTGCCAGCTTTTATAATCTTAAAATTCCTCCATCCATTTTACCATATTTAGTAAACATTTTACTAAGGAACACAAATTCATGTAATTGCTCTTGATTTTCACCATTTATGTATCATTTGCAACTGTTCAGTCCATTTTCCCTGACAAACACAACTACCTTGGTCTTTGACACATTAATTGTACATTTCATATACTTTGTTGCATCATACAGTTTATATAACATTCAAGTAAATCATTCAGGTTTGCAGCCAGCAACTTGACAACATCTGCATACAGAAGTATCCATACATTCATATCTTCAGATAATTCTCCCTTAATGTCACCACATACATTCTTTATACATTTAACTATATGTACATTAAACAAGCAAGGGGCCATAATGCATTCTTATCTTACACCCTGCTCAGTGTTAAACCATTTGCTATTCTTATGAATGCTTTGCTTCCATTATAGTCTGATCTTTCTTATGCATTTGGTAACCAACCTTCAATCCATATTCATTGAAAACATTCTGTAATTCAAGCTTATTCAGTTTATAATGCACCTTTCCTCAATCAACAACACATAGTTACATTTCTTTCTCATATTCACATATTTCTCAAATACTTCTTGAAAAGCAATAATATGGTCTGCATATTTCCTGCCTGGAACAAAGCTGTCCCATACTTCCAAACTTCGTTCATTATGACTTTCTGCACATTAAGTATGTTTTAGTACACATGCCTCCTGTTTTGGTGAAATGCAGGCAATAGTATTTCGATGCTCAAGGTAGTCTTTATATTACTACACTAGCTTGCATAGAAAGACCATGAGCAAGGTTAGGATGAAACTTGGCTTGTGAAATTTCTAGTATGCTGACCAAAGGTGTCCAAATTGGCTAGTGCTGTTAGTTGGGAATGTTGCATGTAGCACAAGTACCACTTCATTTACACTTTTTTTTAAACTTAAGAGCATTGTGTTTACTGAAAATGAGAATGCAAGTTATTTCATATAATGAACCATTATCCCAGAACAAGTTTCTGAAAGAGAGCATGCTATATTTTTAAGGATTCTTACCAAGCTGTTTGTATGAGGAACTTAGTTCTTTTGAATGGAAGATGCCCTGAATTGTGGTTGTTTCCTCAGTTAGAAACTTGTCAAACATAAGTTCAGAAACTTTGACTTAATCTTTTAACCATGCCCTTTTCTAGTACAAAGCCTGCAACAGATGCTTTGGGCTGCAGTTGGTACAAAATGCTGCAGTCCAGTTATTGACAGGTGTTACCTTCAAAAGACTCTGCATTGGTTGCTGATAGGTTTCTGAGTGCAATTCAAAGCACTGGTTTTGACCTAGAGTCATATGTGGTTTGGCACCAGTGTATCTTCTGGACCACAACCTCCACTTTGAATCACCCTCTCTGATACAATTATCACAGGGTGATCATTGATAACACCTCTTCAGACTTCTGTATTATTAGGAAGTGGACTGGGCAGGAGAGTGGTCTGAGACAAGGAAGCAATGTTTTGATGCAGTCTCATTTTTTTTTTTTTATGATTAGGAGATTGATTGTATTTTGGAAGTATTGTTTATAAGGATTGTTCAATTAATAGTTTATTAATTTAATTATTGTATGAGATAATTTATTCAGATGTCACTAGTTTTGGTAGTTATTGATGTGGAGTATTAATAGTGTTTACCAGGGTTATTTCATAGTTTTTACTTGCTGGGGGTGTTTAATTTGTTTATTGTTGTGTTATATTGTGGAAGCTTTATATGTGGTTATAAACTGCCATGATTCAGATTGGAGTTGGCAGCAAATGAATAAGAGAAACAAATAAATACAACATACTGAGCAAATGAATTAAATGTATTAAGTTTTGATTATTTGACCTCCTCCCCCATCTATTGTGTACTAGTTCTTAAAAAAAAAGTTGCTAACGTATCATTTTGTCCTTATTGTCGAATAATTTAACATGATTCTGAATTTAAGATACTGTTGCACTGTTCCTTTTTGATAGACTTATTCCTCAAATAAAATGTGGGGGTAGGGAGGATTCTAAAAAAACAAACCAACCTGTGCATCATCATATTCTTGAATTAGCTGAAGAAAAGATTTCACGTTTTTCTTCATTCAGAATACAAGCTAGTCAATTTTCTGGTTACTGTGTGGAAAGAGATTGATAATAGAGAACTGCTAGATTTAAAAAAAAAAAAATTCCCCACAGTAATTTTATGGCATGAATTTCCAATTTACAGAGCAAAAGGAAATAATCAGTCTGCTGGGGATTATTGTATCAAATGTTATTTCACTTTTGTTCTAGATACAAGCTATTTGTGTGTCAATGCTGGATTCAAATGTTCTTGTACAAAGAAATACTTTGGAAGTGGTTCTCTTCTTTTTCCCATTATATTCTTCTTTGGTGAGCAAATATTATTCAATTATTTTTTACCTGAATTTACATTGCAAATGCTAAGGAAAATGGTGCAAGACATGTTACGTAAGCTTGAGGAATCATTATGTGTTGATAAATCAGTTGTTTACAGGATACCATGAAAGCCTCCTGGTCAGACTACTCTTGTGTCTCTTTATGTTTACTAACCTGATGTTTACTATTTGAGGCTAAAATTTATGTTATGAGAAACCAAATAGGCTGGGATTCTAATTTCCAAAAGATTTTGAACTGTGCTTCCAGATGCACTTAACACAGTCCTGACCAGAGTAATACATTCATTAAAGACAGTCTAAAAATAATTTAAATAATAATACTAGCAGATACAATAATTTAAATCATGTTGGGATGGTGTATTAATCAGTGTTGTTCTTTTCCAGGAAATTGAATTTGTTATTTAGTATTGCATAGATGCATAAAATATAAACTCTTTATTGGTACATTTTCTGAACATACAAGCCAAGTCTAGGGCTGATTTTGTTTTTTGTTCTTTCAGTATCATTCCAACCTCATTCCCACTTCCAACATACACTTCAAATAAACCTTTGCTGAATGTATGCTAGGAGAGTTGTGTATGTGTTCTCCTTTAAACCTATGAGGTAACTGGTCCTTTAGACACCTACTGCAACTCTGCCTCATCGTCCAGCCTTTCCTGAACGAATATACATATTACTATGCTTTAGAGGATAGTTAAGACTTAATCCTATATCTGGCGCAAGATGTAACGGTTGTGTAACCAATAGGAAACAGTGATCATAATGCTATTGCGTTATTGTGTATATGCAAAAGACAGCCATATTTTATACAAAAGGGAAAACTTCTTAAAAAGGAGGGGAGAGATGAAAAAGAGACTGAAAGGAAAAGTAAAGAGGGACAAATCTCTTCCTAGTTCCGAAAGGTTATTTAAATTATGAAGAAATGGAATTCCATTCCATACCTGGAAATCCTTTTCTAACTAGGAGAACAAAAAGGAGCACAAACTTGGGCAGAAAAATATAAGGTAATAATAGGAATTCAGAAAAAGAAAACAGTATCCTAAAAATATATAAATAAATAAGGGGGAACAATAAGAACTTAAAAAAATCTAATTGAAGCAGAAAATCAGTCAGGAGAAACCAGATAAATTATTTGCTTCTGTCCTTATTATTGAAGCTATATGACAGATGCTTGAATCTGTACTGAGCTTTTCAAGAAGGGAGTTGGGGCAACTGGAGCAAGGTAACAACATATTTTTGGATATGTTTAGAGGCTACACTGTAACAAATCATCAGGTCCTGGTGGTATCCACTCAAGACAGTCCTGACTCAGTGTTACCTCCAGGTCAGTGGCAGCATTCCACCAAAGCCTAGTTGCAGAAAAATAATAGTGGGAGAGAAGCAGGTCTCCATCTCCTGCTGGCTAGCCACTGTGAGAAACAAAATGATGGATTAAAATGAACCTTGGCCCGATCTAGCAAGGCAGCTTTTACATTCTTATGAATGATTTTGTTTGGTTCTCATTTCCCCCGCCTCCACAAAAAAATGAAAAATGAATGGAAAAAAATCATTCTTTTTAATGAATATAGCTTATATTGTTTTAATGCATTTATTTTAATAACTTCTATTCTGTATTTGTAAACTGATTCAAGATGTGGCTTCATGGGAAGCAATATAGCAATATATTGAAAAAATAAATCAACAGCTTAATAGGGGCAGAGTCCAAAACTGTAGCTTGTAGGCAACGCACTGCTATCTAATACAACCTTTCCTTTACAAGTTGTGAATTAGGTATAGGAGTCATGAATTGTGTGAATGATAATATTCTTAATGTTGCTGGTGCTATACTGCCACATTATGTGGTTTGCTTCTGCATTTTCTGTTGTGTTTTTAGTTTTGTTAAAAGATGTGCGCCTTCAGCTTACTTGTTGGTTCTTTGTTTAGGACACAAATGAAAGTGCTGTTCCACTGTTTAGGTCTGATGTAGTTCATCTTCTGTCAGCAGCTGTCCAAACTCTCTTAAGAAGAGATATGTCACTAAACAGAAGGCTATATTCATGGTTGCTAGGTATGGTACAACATATAGTTTTGTTTTGTTTTTTGCATTATTTAATTCTTCTGAATTAATTTTCAGAATAAGAAAGCTGTTGGGATATTAAACCTCAAATAGTAGTGCAGTGATCTAGCTTATAAGCTTACAAAAGAATAACTCTGTTATTCTTTGTCCTCAAATACTTCAGTGGAAGGGAAGTATCGTGCACATCACTTTGTGTATGCAAAGTTACACTTCTAGTGATGTGCATGGAAAAGCTTGTTTGCCCAAGAGTTCTATCAGTGTAAAGGATTTGACCAAGAACCCTGAGAATAAAATCATAAATGAAGATAAACCTTAAGTCTATAATATTAGGATTCATGTTGTGAAATCTTGACAAGCTAAGTGTAGTGTTATATGTAAACCCACCTATTATCTCTTAACATTATGTATTGACTAGACTACTATAGCTCTTTCATAAAACTGTTAATCAAGTCCAGAATTAACATTATATGTGAATGTAACCAGAAATTAGGGGTGGTAAAACTGAATGATTAGTTATTCACTAATTAGTTATTTTTTTATAGCTTGGCAAATTCTACAGACAACTGGCTGTTGACTACTGTAGGGATTAATGTCTATACTTTTCACTCACTTGTGGCTGTAGATGAATGATAGAGAATATGCTTTGCTTACTAATGAGGTTCAATCCTGATCTCGATGTTAAGCTAGGACAGATTCCTTTAAATAAGCATCTGCCAGGCTATTTAGGCAAATTTTAACTTGCTGCTGTTCAAATATATTATACTATTGCATTTACAAGGCCAAGTGCTCTGGCAGTGAGAGTGCTCTAGTCAGAGTAGATGAAGCTAGATGAGGCTGTTTCAGATATTGGTTAACTAGGTCTATTACTTATTTATACTTCTGTGTAAAGGAAAAGTATCTAGTATAATAGTTTTTCATATCCACCCATAGATAAATAATTATTTACATGACTGAATATTTTCCCTCTGTACAAATTATGACTATGTAAAATTATGTTTGGGATGTGGCTTTACATTGAATTAATACCAGCAATTCTATTTTAGATTAAATGAAGATATGTTATTAATTAGTTTTAAATTCATTAATTCAGTTGGCAAGAAATTATTTGATTTTAGTCAGCTTTAGAATTGGGTTTTCTTTACATTATAACTTTAATGCTCCCATTCACGTTTTCTCAACTGTAGAATTGTTGTTCTCTTTACATATTTGACTTTGTTTATTTTGAAACACTGGTAGGCATCTACCTGAAATGTTAATTTTTGTTCAAGAATTTGGAGGGTAGGTTTAATTATTACTGTGAAGCTTTGTGTATGGTTAGGTAAGTTCACATAAAGCCCAAAAGATAGTATGACTGATAGTATGAATATTATATCCATTAAAGTTATTCTTAGTTTAATATAATTCTGTATAAGTGACAGCACTCTAGTTCATGTTGTACCCATGAGCAACAGATCATATTATGAGTACTACCCCTTCTAGAATTAAATTACGCTTGTATATAGTTCTACTGTCAAACTGTCTTTAGATGGGGAGGAACCTCCCAGAGATTTGGCAAAGATAGCTAGAAACTAGTTTTTTATTATAATTCAGGAGACAAAGTTGTTACATCTACCCAATGAAATGGTACTGTCCTGTTTCAAGTCTTCCTTTCTCTTTTTCTGAGCATATTTCTGCATAGACATGATTCAATCATCTTCTCACAGTCTCTCAAGCCATTTACAGAAGGCAGTTGCATGTTTATATTTTCTGCTGTGACAATCTCCTTCAGAATCTCGTGCCACTAATCAAATTATGACATGAAGAATGACTAGGAGAAAGGACCTAGTCCTCGCTCAGCGGAACAGATTCTATGCGGAAGATAGCTGATGCAGTCCTAATGGCAAGAAATAGCTCTGGGGCAACAGGAAGAAAGCTGTTCACCTTTTACTATGATTTCTGCATTATTAATTAAAACTATAATGCTATATTGTATTTTTTTATTTTGTCTAGTTATAATTATCTTTTTTAGGTTCTGATATCAAAGGAAGTACTGCTGTACCAGATTTATCTATGAACGCATCCACAGATGATTATGCCCGCAATTTTTTTGAAAAATATTCCAAAGAACTTTTGGTTGAGGTAGGTCTGTATAGTACTCTTTAAAGGACTATTTTATTAAATGGTCACAGTCTAATATTAAGTTAATAAATTATCATTGCTACTGTTTCTGGCTACTGTTATATAATAGCAGCTTCCAGAATCTTTCGTGGGAAGAGTGATGCTAGCATTTGGTTCCAGTTGTAACATATAGTAGAAAGAAGTAACCGAGCCAAGACACTAACTACAGTGGAACAGTGTTCTGCAAAACCAAGATCAAAAAGAAAGCAATGAGAAATCTGGAACTGCAGGAGAAAAAGGATCTTTAATTGATTTTCTGCTATGGGCTGAATTAACCACAACTGTCCTTTTCTTCTTCCTAAAAACGTGTATCATTTCAGTTGTACCTACACAAAAATGCACTGTTTTTCCCTGTGCTACAGGAGTGCTAAACGATTAACTTACTCATGTGTAATTTTGAAAATAGTGTTGAATGTCTTAAATTGTTCTTTTTTCCTTTTTAATTAGGTTCTGATAGCATTTTTCTAATAAATACTTACTGTACTTAAAAGGCAGAGAAATGGACAGTGCTAATAATTTGTACTGTTGTCAATATTCTGATGATTAATAGGGTTTGATTGAACTACTACATCAGAAATTTGCAGAATCTGACTTGGAAGAACAGCATCATGCGTATTTGAAACCATTCCGCATCCTCATAAGCCTACTTGACAAGCCTGAAATAGGTAAGAGAAAGAGAGTCATTTCTTCAATAACTAAAAATATGCTAAACCACAGTATGGGGAAATGCAGGTTCCTAATGGAAAGCATGTGATGGTTTATCAGTTAACATAGATGTTCGTCAATCATTTTAATTTAGTGTTATCTAATATTACAACTTTAATTTTATTCAACATTTCTTAAATACATTCATTTCTTAAGAATGAGCTCAATATTAATTTGAATATGACATGGAAAGAATACCACATAATTCTCCTTAGTTTGTTTTCTGATTTACCTGTCTTCATTCGCAGACTGAATATTGTATCATGGTTACTGGTGATTGTATTTGTCATTGGTTAACAAAATGGTTTAGGCAGATCTTTCCCGTTGTTTAATTAAGATGGGCTACTTTCTTGGTCTGAGAGCAGATATAACAAATGAAAAAGAATGAAAAAACTTAGGTCAGATATTAAATTAATTTTCATCATGAGAGCATATAAATGAACCAGTAAGATCCTTGCATAATTCAGTTGTTGTATCAACTGAGGCTATTTCTTCTGCAAAATAAGTTATATTGTAACACAAAAACTGAGCTATGTGGTATATTGAGATTCTGTTATGTAAATTCTGGTTACATTGCTAAACATACTTGTGAAATTCTGACAATGTTTTAACATTTACTGTATGTAATAATGCATTGAATTGCAAATGACAAGTTCTGTTAATATTACTTTATAACAAGATTTTATTCCCATGTATAAATAAGTCTGTAAATATTGGATTGCTTTATATTTCCCTTATTGCAGGCCCACTAGTTTTTGCTGACTTGTTTCTTGAAGTGATCAGAGCGTTCTATAGATACTGCAAGGAAACACTGGGTTCTGATCTTAAACTGAGCTACAGTCAAACTGGGAATGTCCTTACAAGGTACACTGTAAGCTTTTTTGTTATTTGTTTATTTAAATGGCTAAATATATAAATTATACATTTGTATGGTTTGTGTGTAGAGTTTGTTTTCTGCTATTATATCACTGACCAGAATTACATGTTTTCATGTGCCCAGTTCTTCAAAACATGTCCTTGAAAGTAAATTGACCATAGTCCAGAAGCAAACATCCAAGTTAAGGCCCTGTCATGCTCCTACTGCTAGAGAAGACTTGCTAAAGGGGGGCCGGTCAATCAGTAGTTGCAAAAGTCTGTCAGAAATATGAATTTGTGTGGGTTAACACAAAGCCAGTTTGGTACAATGGTTAAAGGCATTGGGATAGAAACTTGGAGACTGTGAGCTCTAGTTCTGCCTCAGTCATGAAGCCAGCTGGGTGATTTGGGACCAGTTTCTCTCTTTCAGTCCTAGGAAGAAGGCAGTGGCAAAAAAATAATAATGGCTTAACAAGTTCATCTGGACAAGTTCATCCATAAAGCTGTCCATCCATAATGCTGATGTGGCTACTGCTACTACCCATGCCTAAAGCAGTTCAATCAAAACAGAGTATATGCCCTGTAATCTTAATAAATATGTGATTCTTTAATCCCCTGGAAAAGTGCTAAAATGGAATCCTGTAATACTGCTTGAATGGAAAAGGGAGAGTGGTTATGTTGGAAAGGACTGGTACTAAACCTGGGCCATCTTATAACCCAGACTTAAATTTCAGGATAAGTATGAGCTTAGGGTTTCAGTTTAATTTCTGAACACCCAGTTCCAAGTTTTTGTACCATCGCTTTAAAAATGTATTTACAGTAAAACCTTCGATTGCGAATAACTTGATCTGGGAGTGTTCCGCAAGACAAGCAAACGTTTCTAATAAATTTTAACTTGATAAACGAGCGATGTCTTGCAATATGAGTAGAACGTGATGCCGAATGTGTCATGATCACAACTGAGCCAGTGGTTCTCTCTCTTGCTGCGGGATTGTGGGTGATCGTCTCCCATGCTAGTGATAGTGAAAGTCGTCCTACACAATAACCCTCCTCTC